GGGAGACAGTGGAAAGGTGCGCACATCTTCACTCCCAGATCCCGTCTATGTGACCATATTTGGTGAAAGGACCGTACAGGTGTTCGCAAGTTAGGGCTCTGTGGCTCAGGGGTATCTCAGGTCACATGGCAAAGTCCTTCTGCGCCTCCATGTGGTGAAGGCACCCGTCATCCTCAAGCGCTTGCCATGAATGGCACAGGCAGACATTGAAGAGGAAAGTGCTTAAGGAAGAGTGAGTTGGAGAAGGGTTCTCCAGGGAAGCCGCTGACAGTGCCCGGAGGGGAGGGGCGCCTGGGAAGAGCTAACAGAGGAGGGGCCAGAGGGACAGCCTTGGCATTTCTGCCTGGCCAACATTTCTAAAGTCACGTGCTGGGGAATAGCTCACAGAATGCCTTGAGGTGACCCTATCATTCTCTGCTTACACAACTCAGTAACACCCCTCTCTGGTTAATTGTGGCATGGACCTTGGGGGACAACCACCAGGACTTTTCCAGGAGCAGATCCCTCTGCAGGGCAAGGGGCTGCTCACTGGATGTCCAAAAGGAAGTCAGCTCCTTGTTTACATGTGCATGCTCTGTGCCTGTGTGTTCACTCAGATTTGAGGGACCCTCTGGAGCTCCAGGATGGGCCAAAGCACCCCCCCTTTGGATCCATGAGGACAAACTGCAGTGGGCCAAGTGGGTCTGAGACCCAGTGTGTGGGTCATGAGAGGCTGAGAAAGGGGCAGAGGGGAGGGAGCTGAGACATGTTTGAGGAATGCCCAACTGAGGAAATAGAAATCCACCTGGAAGGAAGAATTGGCATTGGCAAATTCTTAGCTGACACAGGAAAGCAGGGGAATCTTCCCCCACGGTGATCAGGAAGGCCACGACAAGGTGTCCCATTCTTCCCCAGTGACGACAGGAGGCGAACAGGACCTTGTGTTTGCTCCCTTCCTGGGGCTGCTGGAAATCAGCCCCACAGAGGACCTGCCCATGGCACAGCTGTGATCCCAAGTTGAACTCTGTGCCTATCTGTGGAATGGGCTTGCCCCCACTGGCCTGCAGATGCTGCCAGGTGAGGGACCTTGTGAGTTTGTGCTCACAGTGGTGTCCTCAGAGCCTGACACTGCCTGGCAGGGAGCAGGGCTTGGTATTAAATGCTCTCCTGGGAACAAAAGTAGGAGCGGACGCCTCCCCCATGCTCAGAGCACCACAGGATCAGAAAGAGCCCTCAGGACATTGCAAGGTGATCTACTTGTTAGCTCGCTTCTGTTCCAGACCGACTCCAGTGCCTATGAAGGGCAAGCGTGGCAACAGAGCACACATAAGGAGGAAGAGGACTTGGGGTGAATTCTCCACAGGTCCTGAAACAATCTCTCTCTCTCTCTCTCTCTCTCCCTCCCTCCCTCGCTCTCTCCCTCCCTCCCTTCCTCCTTCCTTCCTTCTCCCCACTCCCCTCCCAATTAGAATATGGTAATGACACTCAGGTCTGTGACACAGGGTCCTTGTGTGTGGAATGACCAGCACAGAATGGGGACAGGTTGCAGGCTTCATGAGCAGCAGTCCCGGACCAGTCCTGTGATCATCTGGGTGTAGTTGAGTCATGAGTTTCGGGCTCCTCCAGGGCCAGGTCACCCCTCTCTGCCCTTCCCTGTGCCACTTCAGACTGA